AGGTGCAATGAGTGAAAAATCAAAACCATTCACCAAACTAAATCTTGTTTACCGAAAGCAACATCATGCTGACAAACACACTAACCATTTAATCCCATGATTAAAACATTTGCATATTAAATCGCTCATGGAATATATTTGCTCACTATTTTCTCTCTATCTCTCTGTGTCTTTTTCACGCTCTCTCACGCACTATCACGCTCTCTCATGCTCTCTCTCTTTCGATGTTTGCGCGTGCGAATGTCTCAAATATCACATTGTGTGCATTTGAAACGTATAAATTAAATTACGTGCTCTTTAATAGTTCATGTGCATTTAGTTTTCATTTTTCTCTTATTTCAAAGTCTACTCACCTATCTATATATATTGACTAATCGCTGCAAAAGTGTACATATAAAAACAGGTTGAAAAAACTAAGATTAGATTTTGATTTAAATGGAATTGTTATAATCAAAGATTTAACATGATCTGAATAAAAGATTTTTTGAAGATTATTCTCTAATATCGACTCTTTTTACTGAAGAAAATTTACAAAAAAAACAAGCGAATTTCAAATACTGTCAAGTTTCATTTCAACATGGAAACACGAGTGCTGCTTTTCAATGTTGTTCGTGTTAATTGATTCGTCGTTTTTGAACGTTTTTGCAATGAACATTTTTGTTGCTATAAAAATTCTGTCTAGTCGTAACGAAAAAGAATTTTAGTTCGAGTCCATCGAATTATAATGGCATTTCAAAACACGTGCATACTTCATATCCTTTTGGCATATTAGACTCGTTCAAGATGCGGAAGAAATTTGCGAATTTCGAATAGGCTTCGAGGTAGCAAGTAGCAACAACAACAACAACAGCAAAAAGTATTTAATTTCAACATAAATGCGAACAATTTACGGTCATTTCGATATGTGACGCTTGAGTCCTTGGCTCATACATGCAATTTTGCCCGTTGAATAAACGAGAATCATCAACGTTGGTCGTCATAAAAGAGCACTAAAATAAAAAAAATCCTTCAAATCTGTTCACTTCGGAAGTAATTTCGCACGAAATGGTTTTATTTCCGGCCGTTTCATATCAACTAAAATGATTTTCGCCGGTTAGAAGTGAAGGGTTTCAAAAATTGTACACGCAAAATGCATGGACTGAATTGAACATTTTTTTTGTCGTTTTTTATTTAAATCACAAACACACACACACGCCTACCTTTCGTCGTGTGCGCTGAACAATTCCGCTATCATCATCATCAAGCTGTGAATAGATAAAATTTCTCTCCTATCTCACTGACGGAAACGTTTGAATATATTTTATCACAACAATTTTATCCAGCCAGATCTTACAGGCTGAAGATTTATTCGAAGGTTTTTTCTTTCTTTTTTTTCCAAAAAAAAAATCCGTTCAGGAGAATATGTACGTTTATAAAAGCAATGCACCATATGCAATTATGCGAATTTATGTATGAACAAATGAGTGTTGGATTTAGCAATGGGACTGGATATTTGGTTAAAATCTATTGTTGTTATTTGTGCATTTCGATCAATGATGTGGCCAGCATTAAAAAGAGTCCGATAGAATCTAATGGCATACCGTCAATGTAATTAACTATTCAATTAAAGTCGATTTAATAGAAAATTGAAATTTGAGATGCTCAGAAGAGTACAATGCATTCTGTATAATAAGATCTCATGTTCAAAATGTATGCGATACTATAATCGGGTAAGATTAGGACATATCGAAACGATACACCAATTTTAATCCAATAATTCCGAATCCATACGTTTATGTATGGCACATAGTCACTATACAAATTGAATCAGATGCAATGCATAAAAAGTGGCGCGTTGAAAGAGGATGCAATTGCTAAATATGGCAACGGTAACATCAATGAACAATGGATAATGCATGTACCGTACAATTGAACTGAATAAACAGATGTGTGTAAGAGTATCTCTCTTACAAGAGAGCGAGAAAGAGAGATCGTGAGCAAGAGAGTGGGGAGGAGGAGGAAGGAAGAGCCTGGTCAGTGGTCATTGTTGATCGCTTGTCGTACACAAATCGAAATATTATTTGCATCGTAGCTTCGATTGGTCAGTGAGATGGGAACCCAGTGAATGACTTTAAGTGCAGAACAAGAGATCAAAGGTTATTAATTAATGTGGTAGACTTTACGCTTGCATATATGCATCTGCATATTTGCAATCTGTTCACCGTTCTCAAATGAGCTTCAGATTAATTCGAAATGTATGAACCGGCGGTCAGTCTCCACAATGGCTGAATGGAAATGAGAAGTTAGTCCATTGAATGTAATGAACATGCATTTTATCGCAGCTATTGGCGAAGAAGCATCGTGTGTTGGGCTGTTGCTATCAATAAATATATTCTTGAGTGGTTTTCATGCCTGCTTTAGAAAGATACTAAGCTAAATAAAATTATGCTCCTCGAAGTTCTCTCTGCGATATTGTGAGAGAATGAGAGTGAAACATTAAATTAAATCTCATCTAAGTGTTCTCCGCTGCTTCTGTATCGTGCATGCTGTAGATGTTTTTAGCGTCGGTTGTTCCAGTGTCATGTCTTCAGAGCGATTCTTGTATTTAAAATACCTCACATATTTTTGATTAAATTATAAACTTTCCATCCGGACATTATTATTATTCAATTATATCTCCATTCCATCTTTGGTAGCAAAACTGATTGATGAACGCGGCAGTGTGCACTGAAATGAAAACTGTAACACTGTTCTCTTTGTATTTAATTGACGATAAGTGGCAATTTTAAATGTTTTAAGCAAAACATTTTGATGTTAATCAACTTAGGAGTGCCTCTAATAATAATATTAATGATATGTTGGCGAAAGCAAAACAAACCAATGACATTTTCTATTTGAACGTGTGCGTGTGTGCGTGTGCGTATGTGTGTGTGTGTGTGTGAACATCTAAACAACAATAGCGGCAACAAGAAAAACAAAAAAGCTATCTGTTTTTCCTCATACGTTGGCTGTTTCAATTGTAATTGATAGCAGTTACATTGATGTGCCATCAAAAGAGCGGATTTTAAACTGTTATTTTGCTGTTGCAACAGTTTAATGGGGTTGACTGACGATGAATGATGATGAGTTGCGCCATGTATATAGCCAATATCAGCTGTATTTACCAAACGAAATTAATAATGTGATTGTGTATTTACGTTGACAAACACAAAGACATGCACAAATGGTACCTGGTGAGAGGGAGAGCCAAAGGGAGAGAGGGGGGATGGAGAGAGAGAGAGACAAGTCTTTTATTACAGTTTGTACACACGATAATAATGTTGTAATTCAAAATGAGCAGCAATTTGTGTACAATGGCAGGGCAAAGCCGATGAATAATGTAACCTTTTCAGTAGGCTAAAAATGGTTTTTCATTTCGCACTTTTATCACATTTTACCATCATTGTTCTGTGTGCACACGGCACACACAAAATAACATTTTCATTGGCTTGAAGCGCAACCCTCCTGTTTCATGTTTTTTTCGAAACACAGAGACGTTTTTTTTTTTTTTTCAAACCATCATTCTCCACCAGCAGAGCACGGTAATGTTGCTTGTTATCGGCCGGTGTTCAAACTGGCAGATGAATACATCATCAAATATTTTTCGAAAACTTGCATATTTCACATGCATTTGTAGTTTTCGTTGGGTATTGGCTGCATATTTATGAACCACACACATACCATGGTTGATCTATCTGCACCAAATGAAACCATTCACGTGCGTTTGTTCTTTATTGTTGTGGAATATTTTAATGAGCTTGTTTGTTGATAACCAGTATTTGAATATTTGAAACTAATTTTATTGGTTTGAATTCAATAACAAAAAGAATTTCATCGAAAATCAATACAAACGCATTTCGAACCAATTATTTCGGTGAGAGAGAGAGAGAGAATACCACCGTTTGACTATGTCACATTCATCGAATCAATTTTTGAACTTTGGCATCACGATAGGAGTGAAAGACAATAGTTGAAATGAAAAAGGAATAAATAAATGTTACATGAATGATTCGCTATTTAGACAATGTATTTGTTTCAAAATGAAAAAAAAAAATTCAGAAATTTACCCGTTAATTAACATGAGAAAAACACGATTTTAATTAATATTTTTTCCCATATTGATCACCAGCTTTGTTCAATTACTGCTATTGCTACTCGTTGCTATTCTATTCTATTTGACAATCGAAATTGCGGCAATCATTCAACAGTCGTAAATGTTACAAAAATTTCGATGGGAGTTATTAATTACAATTTTAGCGATTTAATAAGCACGATAAACAGATTGATTACATCAATTCAAAAAACAAAACGGATAAAATTCGGAATTAAAAATTATTTTTTTAAATTTTAGGTATGGAATAATTTAAACATTTTGATTGCTTTAAATTCGAAAGTAAATTTATTTCGGTCACATTTATTTTTCATCTATAAGCTAAAATACCCCATTAAATTGAAAAGCAAACATCAATCATCATGAGTTAATGTGTTAGAGCGAATTCGGTTTGCGTGCCGAAGCACTGATCGAATTGTATAGTTTTACTTCAAAAACATTTACATTTTAATTTTTTCCAATAATTTCATTGACTGTAATTATAAATAACTTAATGTGCAATTAGTTTTAATTTTAAAATTCAAAAATCTTGTAAAAAAAGAAGAGCGAATATTATTCAAATTGTAATGATTGTTCATATATAGAGTTCAAGTGAGCAAAAGTGCAGCAAATAATTAATTCGAATGTATTCGAACGCCGATTTCAAAAAATATGCGCTTGAGCGACGTAAAGCTGCAAGTAGCGAACGCAATTTAAAGTTTTCCGGTATGGTTTAATCATTTTTAATTAGCATCTAAAGTCCATGATATGCCTTAAAGATGTTGTTTCAATGTAAATTTTCTTCTTTTTTTATTTGTTGGTTGCTTACATTGTACTAATCAGTATTTGCAACGTAAGCAATGACGAACCTTATTTGAACATTAAATATCATGTTGAAATGGAAATTTAGAACAGTCTGTTGTTTGAGCTACTATCACGAAGTTCGAACACTTGAGCTTTATTTTCAAAAGACTTCAGATTATTAGGGCATAAAATAGAATAAATAAAAGTTCCAACATGCAGCCGATTTTGGTTTTATTCGTTGCATTAGCGGTATTTTGTGAAAATGCATTTGGAGTGAATTTTCGTATGTTTATAAATATATTTTTCATTCAACAATTTAATTTTTTTAAATTTGAATATTTAAAGAAAGAATCTTTCTATTAACAGCAACTGACATTCTGAAATGTAAAAAGGGTGATACGGATTGTATAGTAAAATCAGCAAATAAAGTGCTGCAAAGTTATGGTGCGGAAGGTGCTCGAGCAATCAATCTGTTACCACTGGATCCCTTATTGATCCCACGTATTTACATAAAACAAGGTGCAGAAAGCCCAGTGAACGTTGAATTAATTTATACAAATAATACCTTGAATGGAATTAAAAATTGTGAATTTTTTGGAATAAAGTAAGTACAATAGATTTGAACTCCCATATAGGGCTGGCCTTTTATGTCATCATTAAAAACATAAATTATCCGGGCGAATACTTTAAAATTTCAAATGATTCATGCGGAGAGCAGGTTTAATTTGAAAATTTAACGTCATTGGAAAATAGTTCTCAAAGATGATGTAAAATAGCCAGCCCTAGTCCAAACATCAGCTTATAACGAATTGTGTTTTCAAGGGGTTTTGATGAAAACATAGAAGGGAATTATGAAATACGAGCAAAAGGACCAATTGTGTCACTCCTAGGACCCTATTCAATTAACGGCAAAATTCTGGTTCTTCCGATTCAAGGCGAGGGCCAAAGTAATATCACAATAAGTAAGCAATCGATTTTGATTTTCAATTTTCCATATTTTGACCAAATTGAAAGGGAGAATCATTTAATCGCAAATTATTGTTTTTCAGTGAATCCGGAAATGTTAGTCAAATTCAATGGCAAAAAAATTGAAAAGAATGGAAAAATCTACATGAAACCAGATAATACAAGATTAACATTCACAACTACTCGAATTTATATGCGATTAGAAAACCTCTATAACGGAGATAAGGTACGAATGCATTCAGGAGAAAAAAGAAACAAATATTTAAACATTTCATTCTTTGACAGGTGCTTGGAGAAAGTACGAATACATTTTTGAATGAGAACTGGAACGAAGTTTTTCCAGAAATCAGAAAGTCCGTGTTCGATGCATTATCACAAATTGTCGAATCATACATGACAAATGTTTTCACAAAAATTCCATACAACGAACTGTTCGCTGAGGGTAAATAGACGCATAATGCGCATTCGATAACAAAATTTGTATTGAATTGGGGTTGACCTATTGGTAATAGAATTCGTCTCATTGTGGTTGTAAATGTTTTAAAATTAACAATAAATAGTACCAAATGCCTGTGGTTTATATTATGAATTAATATGGTTTTTTGATATGTATTCGTGATTGATTCAACTGACAGCTAGCTCAATATTCAGCTTTGATTCTTCTGTACAATTGATTATTTATTATTTGTTTAGCATTCAAGTCTCGTTCAATCGACACATCGTCAGTTGATTGAAGCCTTTAATTTGAAGTGAAGTGATGATTACGCAAGAGTGTTTACTCGCGTGCACACAAATTATATTGGGTTTCACACCTAATACTATCGTTAGTTCAAATTACCTGTCAATTCAAGCTCATTTAATGAGCAATTAACACGAACAATTGAACAAGTTCCCGCAATGTACAATGGCGTACAGAAAATTTAATACCGTTGCATGCAAACCGAATATTATGATTATCGTTTGGCGAATATTTCTCAGAATGAAACATGAAACTGGTTAAAAGTGCATCTTATTGAAATCCACTGAATTACGTCGAGTTAAGAAATTAACAAAACCATTTAAAACTGTAGATTACAACGGGCAAACCAACAATAGTCGTGGAGCAGATTGAAAAAGCGATTTTAATTAATAATTTTTTGTTCATATTGTGATTGTTTTTTGAACACTAAATTGAACTTGCTTTTGAATGCATTGAAATGTTTTTCTCTAGTCGCCTGCTGTATTTTGTTGATGTGGTCGCGCGACGCGTTGGTTTTTTTCGAACAATTCTCCATTCGGTGTCATCGCAAATGTTGATATGTCCTTTTTATTGGTTTTTCACCTGTAGTGGTAGCGCTGTACCCACCAGATTGTGTTCCATAAGCGAACTCGATTATATCGTGTCCATGAGGTTGATGAAATGGAATAATCGTGCTACAATTCATATTGAGTTTTTGCATTCATCGCATTGCGGTGTCCCTTTTACAAAAATGGGCATTTAATCGAATTGGCACTTTCAGAGCTGGTTGTCGTATATTGCGTTGGGGGACTTTTCGTGAATGCAATATTTTTTTTTTTCATTTTACATAAACAATCGTCACCAAGATGTAGACAATAGGAGATTTTAATTGAATATTTAGTCTTCTGTATGGCAAACCTTTTTTTTTCGCGTTTTATAATAAAAATTCGATTAAAATTCCAAATAAATCCACATTTATTCGATCAAATAGTTTTTGAATACATTGGCTTCCATCGAATTCATTTGGTTTTTTGTGCAGATTCGTAGGCCTGATTCCAAATGTCAACCAAACTAACTGATGCATTAAATCGATAAAACATGATTAACGGAAGCGATATGTGATTCAAAATATTCCAAAGTCTATATCCATAATAACTGTATCTGTAAATCAGAAATATAGACCGAACATGTTTGGCAATGAAAGAAAATTTCAAATTTGCGAGCAGAGTTTTCAGATAGGATTCTTGGAAATTTCAAAACAAAGTAAAAGTTACAGCTGCTCCGAATGAGCTTGTCTGAAAACTCAATTTCATCTTACCGTACATCACCAGTGATGGTTTTCCCAGAAAATGTATGATATATCCAAAGACTCATGTTGGCCATTGCTAAAACCGAAAATGATATTTGTTCAGAAACCAAGACCACAACGACTGAAAGACAGCCACAGTAAATAATTTTTGAAGCGTACAAACCTAAAAATATCACAATACCACGTCCGGTTTTCTTATTTTGCAAAAATATTGAATTCGAACACCGTCTTTTTCCATCAATTATGAATGGTGTTTGAATTAAAACTTGAATGACGCGAAAGATTGAAATGCATATCGTCAGAATGGCACCACTGTGAAAAGCTGGCAACAGCGAAAAAATGCACTCCATAAAAAAAGCTGGAATTGCAATAACAAGCAAAATGTCGTCCATTTTAATTTTCGGATCAAATTTAATGTCCAATTTCACGGTTTGCGTATAAGCGTAAATAGTGGCAATAATCAGAATTAATAGTACAGTGCATTCGAAGATATTGTTGATCGTTATACTCGTCTTTAGATATGATCTAAAAGAAATACACACGATTTGATAACCGTTCCAGCAATTTAGACTTGAAAAATGTGTCTCACCGATTTTGAAATCCGACAAACATTAGAATAATAAAAACAATGGTCATGATAGCCAGTAAAAGGCCAATAAAAATGCCTGGAAAACAAAACAAAAGGCTGTGATTTCGGTTGTTCATCGAAAAATAAAAAATATTTCATTACCATGATAACTGGATTGGCAATTCATGTGAACATGGGAATTGGTTTCAATGTCTTTATGGTGCTCGGCTGATTCTTGGCTAAGTTCCGGCAAGTAAACCGTTGACAATGAATCTGTTTGGATCGAGATGGGCGAAACAAAAACTTAAAAATAAAATCTATAGAAAATCGTTGAGAGCTTACGTTCCGTTTTGTCATTTTGAGACGAAGGTATGTCAACGTCATTATCGTTGCCGTTGGTGTTGCCTATTTTCCGTGGGCAATGATTGATATTTGCGTAGATTTTACACCAAATACCAACGATTAAAATGCAATACTCGATAACGAATGGATACAAATATGGAGCGAATTGGCGATGAACAGCATTCAATGCATTCGATTTACCACAATCATTATACACAAATTCAAATGTTTCATTTGGTCGGGCGACTCGAAACATTGCTGTCGATGGAAAATGAATTTCCGCTTAAAGAAATTCAATGAAATTTCTTGATTGAGATGCGTTTTACCATAATTTTCGGCATCTGATTCTGCAATGGCATCCGCTGTCTCTCTGATTATGGTGAACACCCACAGCGACAACGATGTACCAACAGAATGCATTAAAAATATTCGCGCCACATTTTCATTCACATTGATAACAACATTCATGTATTTTACAATGAAAAACAACGAGAATAATGAATAAAGCGGAAATAGAATATTCAGTGCAAGCGTTGTATATGAAGCACATTCGTACAAATAGTCGCCGTTCGATGATATAAAATAGGCATCGTAACTAATTTGAAGTGCTGAATACACGAGCAGACCAAATGCGAACCCTATTCGAAAATGGATCAGACACACATACAGAAAGATAGAGAATGAAAAAGAAGAAGAGATTACCTTAAAAGTAATAATTATTCTTATTTTTGCATTTATTTCAGTAAAAAAGACTGTATTCAAAATCCACTTACATGCAGCGCCCAATTTTATGTAAAAAGATTCTCCATTTTGATTTGGCAAGAAGCAATATTTGTGTATAATGCTTTTAATGGGCGGTAAATTTAAGTCAAGAATAGCTTGAGCATAGAGTGCTTCCACATTTGTCGATCTATTGCCATGCACCTGTGTGGCGTGGAGTAAAATTAAGTTACTTTGAATGAAAAAGACATACTCTTTTGTAAAAAAAACAAACTTACTTTATTTTGTTTGACATAATTTTCAATAAGTTCCTTGCGTTCCAAACGATCTTTGAGTTCATTTTTTGCATGAAAAATATGTCGCCGGATGTCTTTATATAGATAAAGGAAATATGCAAATGCCATACAAAGCATGTATAGGCAAAAAGCCTATGCCATTTGTTTACACAGTAATACATTACTTTTTTTTATTAATTGTTATTCACTTAAAATCTATTAAAAATTGCCCCCATCAAATTGAATTTCCTACTTACCTGTGGCAGTGGATATTGGCTCTTAACAACATCACCGATAAAAATGATGGCACCAAATACAACCAGAAATATGGCATAGCATATTGAAAATGTGGTAACAAAATATTGTCTGTTCGAGAAGAAGAAAAGAGAATCGAACGATTGCAAACTTACGCACAATGGATATGCAGTACAAATTGCACTGACACAATTGAAAAACAATGGAAAGCAATTAAGCGAACAATTCGCATACAATCAAATGAAAATCTAATTACACCGATGATGAAATACTTTGTGGCCAAGTGATTGCAAAATATTCCAATGCAATATTTCAAATTACCTTGTTAATTTCCGTTTTTCGTTGTTGGTTGAATCTTTTGAATTGTCCCATTTGCCATCCGATTGAATCACAAAGCTACCAACCGATGATCGTTGCGGCAATGAAAATGCATTCGACAATCGTCCATTCTCAATACGAACATCAAGTGCACTTGGACCAAAATGATTTTGCCATAGTCTTTCTCGTTTTGAGAATAGATTGCCAGAACTCGATATGAAATCATCTCCAAGATTTTCATAATAATCGTTCAAGTATCTTCTATGCTAAAAATAGGGAACATTTATATATATACAATGGTAACGGTGTTGGTGTTCGGCTATTATTATATCTCTGATGGTTCTTATATTCGAAATAATTTGAAGCAATATGAATTGTGTTTCATTAAAATTGAACTAATTACGTGAAAATCGTAGAGAAATGCGCTAGAAAATCATTCGACTGACAATTTCTGTGAAAATGTCTTTTGGTGAATTATAGGTAATTTTCCTGAAAAAGGTTCATTTTTTTATACTTTGGTAAATTATCCGTCTCGTTGATCAATATTCATCAAAGCAAGAATCTGCATGCACATAGAGATTGTGGTCGACTAAATCAAGAAAACCACATTCTTTTTAGCTAATGAAGTATCTCTTGTACATATTTTATTGAATTATTAGATTTATCCAATGATAATTTTAAATGGCTAAAAGCGATTTCCTTTCTTTGTCACTTTAGTGACAAAAAATTGTTTTCCACTTCAATAGCTATGAACGTAATTCAACCCAATTTCCAAAGCACATTTTGCCAAAGTAAAGATAAAAGCCCTTTAATTTCCACAATATGTGACACAGTTGGGAAAAAAAAGTTCCTTTAAATATTCTTCGAATTTGTGTCAAATCATTGCTTTTAGTAAATATTGAAACTAAATTTAGATTTGAAACGTCTGCTGTTGCAGAGCATTGGTTTTTAAATTCAAGAAATAGCACGTCGATTTCAATAGATTTCAGTAGAAATACACTCAACGACTATGATGAGCCATACTGTGCTATGGCGTGTATAGACAATGTGACGAATTGATTTGATTCTTTTTGTTTTCATTCAACTTCTCCAACAACATAGAATAAATACACATTCAACAGTTGATACACAATATATGGGCTGAAATATAAATTCTCTCACTCTACATTTTTCTTCCGCACCTTCCCCCTATATAGTACACCGTATCTTTCTCTCTTTCTTTCTAAAATAGATTTAACAAACTAAAGATAAACGTATTTGCAACAGATTTGGTCGGATGTGCTCGTTCTATCTTTACATCTTGTTCGGCAAAAATTTCCACTCAATAAATTTGAACAAGTAAAACAACAACAACACTATCAGGCACCATCAACACCACCACCACTACCACTGCCACCACCGTCGACGGTGACTATGCTACGAAAAAAAAGAGAACGTCATCCATGCACACGGCTTACACATGCTTATTCAGCGAACAAAAGAGAGAGAGAGAGAGAGAGAGAGAGAGACGAAGAGAGCCATAGTACCTATTTTATTATAAATAAAAGCATTTTTCGAAATCACATCGGGTTAGTCTCTAAACAACCGTAAAATCAAACAAATTTTCTTAGTTTTTCTCGTGCATTCTGTTCTGCTCTTCTCTTGTTGATTTAATCCTTTGGCCATGTATGTGTGATAGAGAAAGAGTCAACGAGTGAGTGTATGTTAACGTTAAGCGAGAGTTCTGATTTTTTTTCCCTATCGTCATACTATATGTTGATGAAAACATTCGCATGTATCGCTTCAAAGCACTGTAAAAGGGTTCACTTTATTTCCTTTTTCACATCGTTCGCTTGCTTTTAGATGTTACAGTTTTTGTAACAACATTATTGGCACTTGTATCAAACACGAGCCAATATAAACAATGTGCGCGGCACAAATATGGGAGTGAAGCGACAACGCTCAATCGAACCGATTTTCAAATGAACCGACACAATACATCAAACGATGAAAATGTTTTTATTAACAACAATGATGGTAATCACGATGAGCTCATCGATATACGCCAATATTTATTGCTACACTTTTCATCGAGAAGAAAATTCGAGAGCAAAAAAATTCAATGTGAATAAAAAAAATCGAGCACAGCACCTCATTTCTAAGGTAAGTAATTTCTGTTCAATGAATTTTACTCGATATTCTTTTGGTCAACCAATTTCGCCATAAACTCTTCGGCCACATTCTTGAGATGAGCGATTTCTATTTTTGCCCATATTTTCTTGGCGTTTTTCACAAAGACAATTTATTATCGTACCGATGTTCGTTTGAAAATTCTTGAAAGAAAAGCGATTTTTTTATAGATCATCTCTAGAGAGTCCAATGATTATTTGCTCATAGAGTTCATAACTATGAAAGAGAGAGAGAGAGAGAGAGAGAGAGAGAGAGAGAGAGAGAGAGAAATGATGATGACACTGAAAAAAGTAAACTAATATAAACATTGATGGTTTCGAGGCATATATCGTTTGACGAGCATCAAATTAGTTTCTTTTAATTTTAGTATCTGCGACAACAGCACACAAATTTTATCCACTTCACCAACATCTAAAGGGATGCTAGAATGAAAACCGCTCGCTTCATACGATTTAACACACATATGTGGATCGCTCTATACTTTCATACTTTCAACAAAATCTCCATATATGCAAGCCATACACACGCTATGATGCATTAATTATTTGTTGGAAAACATATTTGCGTGTTCATTCATTCAATCAATCCACATTCAGATCAACGGATAGAATTTTTAGAGAAAGCAAACCGCTATTATCGCTTTTGTAGACGAATTTTCATTAAACAACTTTCAAATGACTGTTTCACATGTGTCAAATGAAAATAAACGAAACACATTTTTCACACACAATTTGCTATGACCTGAAAATTCACATTAAATTAGTTCAATGAAGAAAAATTCTCACCCAACACGATGGTGTATTAACAAAACCACGTTCAATTCTTTCGAATTGTTCATAGATTGGTGGTTTCATAAATTGAACATTTCCGCGTATCGTACCGTCATTATCTACACTAGCATCTATAGAATACCGGCAAATTGGTCGTACATTTGACAAACTTTTGTTAACATTTTCAAGCGAGTTTTGTTTTTGATAAAATGATCTTGGAAGGCACACTATATCACGATTTGAATGGATTTCATCAGAAGAATTCATATTTAATGACTAATATCACACAAATTCAGTCTCTACACAAGCCAAAATCTACTTAATAACATAAACCACGATATTAATATCTTTAAGTTTCCATATTTTTAAATAATCTCTTTTTGTATGATATAGAATGATCTAGCACACCGAATTTTTATTGTTCTTCTTAGTAAAATGATCAACAGTTTTTACGGTATCACAATTCGTTCTAAAAAATAATCAATGCAAATAAGTGTCTTACACTTAAACTTCACATCTTCACTCGCATCAAACTCAAGCGAATAAATACCGTCTGACTTCCATTAACTGATTCTTTTAAATACTTTGCAATGAATAAAGTATTCTTTGATGAAATTTCGTTTTATTATCACTTCCAGACACTTCGATATTTTTAAACCAAAAAAATTAGACTTTGAATAAATAAGTATGCTGTACGTGTGTCTTTTTAATTGAATTGCTAATTTAAACAAATGACAATTTTCGAGAACTCTGCCGAAAAAGTGATAGTTTTTCTGGTATGAATTTCATTGACGTCAATTACATTATTCTAAAACAACCAATGACATTCATCAGCCAATTGTGCCATTTTTTGTTACGCCCAACGAATACTTCAAAATGAGTATTAAATTTGACGGCGAAGACAATATAAAATACAAAAATATATTAATTTATTTTCATCTGGAATTCAAAAAGATATCATTACGAGTCATAATCATAACACCCTGAAAAAAATGAACCCGTACAAGTTTGTTTAAAAAAGATGAAATGAAATTCACAATAATTTCTCTAAAGGAAGAAAAATTAACGAACGTTCAGAATGGGCACTAAAAACTAAGATTCTTTTGAAAAATTCCCAATCTGAATCATTCATATCATTTGAAATCTCAAAAAAATTTGCTAGTCAGCGGGGATAGATTTATAATCACATAACAACAGAGACAAGCTGGAAACGTTACTATGCACTACAATAAGAATATGGCCACAGAAGAACTGAAATGTTTGATCAATATTCAGTTGTCATGTATTTACTTTTCGTTCGTAAACAAACTTGTTTGTTAGTAGAAATTTTGAGCCAAGTGAATAATTGTTCAATTGTTGATAAATTTGATATACAAATGATGAATATAAAAACTGGACCCATTATACCACTACCACTGCATCGTCGAATCAATCGCTTGATAAAAACTGATGACATTCTCTTTGACGAAACGTCCATACCAGAAGAACACAATGAACCAAAATTGTTTAACGACGTATAAAGCGATCTACATTTTGAAGTAAATAAAATGTGTAATTTGTCTATTAAACCGTTTCATTTTTTAGGATTTACAATTACGAGATGATAAAATCTTTGTTGAACCTCGATTAGAGCCGAAGCCATTGAGTCAAATAAAAACGAATTGGTTTGATGAATTTTGCCGAAACACTCAAAAAGATCGAATAATATGGGAATCAAAATTGCATGAGGCCTCACGACGATTCGCAAATAAATCGATGTACGAACAAGTTGAGGATCTAATGGACATTGTATGGTGTATTCATGCATTAAATTTATATAGCATTGTATTGCTTCTTATAAATTATTTGCAGTCAGCTGAAGATTTTTCCGAGTGTATCAATAAGTTAGCCGACGATGAACAGCATCAAATTAGCAAGGAAATGATTAAGAAATTATTTTCAATCGAAATTGAAAATGACATTTCAAACTCATTGTTTGTGCAAAAAACTCATAAACCATATGTATCCGAAGAGATCGCTGAGTTATTTGAATGTCCCGAAGTAAACAGCTTCTAATTTCTTAAATGACATAAATAAAAAGTGATTGTTGTTTTTTATCATTTAGCTGGCCATCGAAAGGAATATTCGTAAATTAATGAAACAAGATAAAAAGTCAACGAAAGTGTCACCAAAATATCATGCTTTTGGCAGAAGCTTATCTCCAGCATCGAAGCAAATACAAAAAATCAAGTTTACAGAACCGGAACCATTCAATTTCCCCGAAGATATTCGGTCCGGTGAAAATCTTTTCCATGGAATTGATCAATTAAAGTAACACAATTTTGTCTTGAATAAATATATTTGAGTGATGTATGTATGTTTTTGCTCTGAACAGATCGACAAAGGCACTCATAAACTACTTTGATGAACACAATTTACCAAAACCAAAATATTTAAGCAAAATGAATGCGCTCAAATCCAAATCAAAAAACACATCACAACAAACGCCATTGTATTCGGATTATCAATGATTGGAAATATTTTGCATCAAAATAGACAATAGATCAAAATATCGCATTTCAATATTTCATGTATTTTTCACGCCCGATACCGAGTAATTTATTTCCAAAACCGAAAACATTGAAAGAATAATTGATTATAAAATGATTTTGTTAAAATGTGTAGAATGTCAAGGTCAACATTGCTTCGGCAAACTTAAAAATCGAAACAGATCTTCACTTTTTGAGAATTGTTAAGGGGTAATTTCTCAATCTATTCTCAGTGGAAATATTGGATACTATACTGGTCAGAAGCAATGAATGTAAACCACTTTCTTCACAAAATGTTAAATTCTTTTTGCTAGTATTATTGTAATTTTAACTTTTTTTCAACAGCTTAAATCTGTTGTTATACATATTATGCTTATATGTGTTATTTTTTATTTGTTTTCATTCTGAACTCACAAACAAAATTCGCGTGATATATTATCAAATTAAAACTTGAATTGAATGATTTACGAACAAACACAACCAAGATAAAACGAAACAAGAGATAGATAGAGTAGATGTCCAAGAAATTATTAAGTTTTATTAATATCACGATTGATATAATACTATACAAACACAAATTCAAAAGTCAATATACTCATTGGAAACATTCGACCAACAAAACTTCTTTTATTTACCCTTTATAAAATTCTGATGGAAAATTTGGTTGATCTGTTTCATGAACTTCCTTGAAATGATGATAAATAACAGAAATCACCATACCATATACCATTATTGGTTGTGATTGGCTTCAAGCCACAAATCTCAAGCTACGAAAGGAAGTTGCGTTTATACATTTAAATTAAAGTACTTATTTATTTGCAGACCGAATTTTGTTTGGTATTGATGTCATCAACAATTCTATTTAAATAACGATTTCGACAGAAAGAAAGTTCATTCGCGAGTTGTGTGTTAAAGTATTAAGATCAGTCATTTATCAGAATGTCTTTAGTACCACTCAATCAAGCCTTGCCGGTGGTGCAAACTCAAGGTCTAAGCAGTGGATTTGGA